TTAGTTACGCCAGTTTTGAAACTACTGCCTTTCGATATCCTCGAACATAAACAATCAGTAAGATGACAAGACAGGTTCACTCGATGCAATTACAGTGGAGCCTCGGGTGACGAACAGCGCCATCTACGAGCATTTCAGGTAAAGAGTAAGCCATTAGAAATGTTTTTTTGATTAAGGAGCTTCCATTCAGTTAATGCGTTGTCAGTGCGCGGGTGTGTGCCTGTGTCTGCCGTTAAGTCTTGCTCCCAGGACGTGGGTCATCGGTCGCCTGCAGCCAATCACTGATCTCATGCATTTTGATTGGCAACGATTCGCAAGCCGAGGGTTTCACATGGCAAGCTCGGTGCTGGAGCGGATTAAACTCGTTACCCGAGTTTCCACTCTATCTAGCGCCGATGTGCTGCAGAGCCCCGTACAGTCACGTGACACTGGTGGTTAATTAACTAATCACTCCCTACAACTGTCGCCTGTTTTCTTGTTGTTGTCATCCCCGACAATTGGATCCTGCACGAGTTCGAATGTTCGGAAAACTAAATACTTCCTGATCACCGAGCCTACTATTTTTGACCTTATTCTGAGTTTACGTGTCTAATTTGACAGTTTCGTTTTTTTTCTGCACTGACCCTGTGACATTCGTTTCTGTTTACACTTTATATTCTGTGTAGGATCTACGTCACCTGATGCAGGATTTCGCTGGCCTGTTGTATGAGCGTCGCTACATCGGCTCCGTGCGGTTTGATGACGAGACCGCTAACAGGAACTCCTACAACCTCAGCGTTTTTCGAGCCGTCCTGGCGGGCGCTTTATACCCCAACTTCGTTATGCTCACTGAACGGCCTCCGAAGTATGCATTTGCGTTCTTTCTTGCATGCGTGTTTTACCTCTGGCTGCACTTTAAGCACATCTGGTCTTTTAAAACTCAGTCCTCGCGCGTGCAGTATCATCTGATGGAAGGAATTTAGTCGTCCTAGCCCCCTCTGCCCTAGCACGGTTAACATCCCCAGTCTGTGCGGCTTAGAGCGGGGTGGGTTCGGCTCACTTGTCGATTGCCACCGCGTCTCGGTGGAACTTAAGTAAATATGCCGACAGAAGACGTCAGCAGTTTTGCCTTAGCACAAAAGTGACCTACTGACCTCTTCTTTACATCTAAGCGTCACGCTGATCCCCAAAATCACATGCAAGCGGCATTCATCCATCTGGACGGATAAAATGCGGACAGTAGGCCTTTGCCCTGGGGACGCAGACAATCCCAACAGGACTTAGGTGTCAGTGCTCAAGAAACGTAAAGTAGAACCTCGGTTAACGAGTTTAATCCGTTCCGATACCGATTTCGTCTTGTGAGATATATCCAGTTAAACGACATCAGTTCACTGAAGACCGACAGCCTGGGAGAAAGACTCAACGGCAGACGCAAGCACGCACTGACAACTCGCTAACTGAATGGAAGTTCGTCAACCGAAACACATTGTCTGCTAGTGTCTCGTTAGTTGCCTGAAATGCTCATAGATGGGACTGTTCGTCAATCGAGGCTCTACTGTACTACTGAATTCGGGAAATGAGAACGGCTACTTCAGGCTTATATTCCGTCGTCGGCGAGCCACAGTCCAGACTCGGGCTATGTGCGGAAAGGGTGACGTATATTCCCTCCTGATCAGGATGCGGCAACAGAAACCGCTCGCAATACGGGTGTCTGCTCAAAATTCGAGGGGTTCGGTTTGTGTCTAGAGTTTATTATTATGTTTAGAGTTAGCATTCAGATAAGTTGTGTTTAAGTCGACGGTTAGGGTTGAGATTGGGGATACTGGTTTCGTTTTATTTTAGGATTAGGACACGGGAATATTCACCCATCCTAGACTTATGCGTACGGCCACCTTTATTACTAAGGTGAGGTGCTCTCATTCCCGTAGTCCGGTTAGGATTAAATTCACGGCGTACATTGAGTCTCGTAGCTCAATGGTGGAGTGTTGGCGGCGCAAAAGCCTTTCCTACTGTGTGGGTTCGACTCCCACCGAGGCCGAGCATTTTTCACACTTGGGTCAACTGAATTAAGCAAATCTGACAGAGCCTCCCTAACGATTCCATACACAGCAGAACATCAGTTAAGGGGTTTAATCTGTTCCAGAACTGAGCTCGTCTTGCTAAAAGTAGCCGATGAAACTGCATCAGTTCACTGATTGGCTGCAGGCGACAGAGGACCCACACCCTGGGAGCAAGCCTCAGCGGTGGATACAGGCACACACAGACACACACGCACTGACAGCTCTTTAACTGAACCGAGGTTCGTCAATCTTAATTTTTTTCTGCAAGTGGCTCGCTGGTTACCTAGGATGCTCGTAGATGGGTCTGCTCGTCACCCGGGGCTCCAATGTAAGTTATCCTTACCCCATGTACTTCTGCTCATTGCAACGCGGTTGGTCGTTCATTTTGGTGCGTGTTAATTTTTGTCGATTAAACTCGCGTTGAGGTCCGCAGACCAATCAAGGTTGGTCATTCCTTTCTTGGATGGCAGTCTTCTCTGAGTTTCTGCTGATTCTTGTAACTTATGGTAGTGGCCTTTCTGTAATTTCCTTTAACTGGGCTCTCGAAGTCGATTGCTGCTTTTCGCAATTTGGTTATACCCATGGTCTAACTCGCGCTGGTCTCATCACAGTTACAAGGCTATCTCTCCTTCTTGCTGTAGGTATAGACTCCTTCTAATTGCATCCAGGCTTGCCTGGCGTCAAAACTTTGTAAAAGGGCTCTTATCATGATGCTAGCATTAGCGTGCCATACGGCCTGTCACATGCCTGCTTGCGCCGCCCGCACAGTCTCTGCGTGACTCTGGTAGAATGAATGTACTCTTCGGGGCAGACTTTCCGGCGACTGGGCAGATTATACTGGGTCTCTCACCCTCCCTCTCCCATTCCTCTTTCTTCGTTCTTTCTAGCCAGCCATGTATGTGACCATGTCAACCCCGCCCTTGTCCTTTTTCACCAGACTTCTCAACTCAGAAGACGATTTCGTTTCCCCTCTCTTGCCAGTCTTTTATTGTCTCAAGTCCCACATCGACGGTCCATACTGATGTACAGTATGCGACCTTAATCAATGCCTAAATTAGCGAAAAATCGCGAACCGCCACAAAACAAGTGCGAATGAAAAATAAATATTCCGATCGATATTTCGTTGAGAATAGGCAAAAAAATAGTTTTCTGAAGAAAGGCGAAAATGCCCAAGACGTGAAAATTGGTGATTCAAGTTTTGGAAGTGGAGTGGAATCTCGGAGAACGAGTTTAATCCATTCCATCACCGGACTGGTCTTGCTTAACATGACCAATCAAACTGCATCAGTTCACTGATTGGCTGCAGGCGACCGGGTGTCCACGACCTGAGAGCATGACTCAGCGGCG